CCATCGCCCCCCAGCTCTGCCCCACTGCCCCCTGCACGCCTCGTCCGTGGCCAGCAGCATGTGCAGCCGCATGTGCAGCCCCACGCACGACCCGCACCCTGGCTGGGCACCCCTTGGCCCCCCCTCACCCTCCATTGCCCACGCTCTGGCTCCTTCACTCACCCCGGCACCACTTGGCACCCTCCATTGGCAAAGGCTTGGGACGGTCCCACGCCGGAGACGTCCTGTGCCATCACTGCCGCTGCCATCATCACTGCCACTGCCATCGATGCCACCGCTGCTCTGGCCTCTCCCACCCCCTCGCTTGCTCCCTCCTTCGCCATCCAGACCCCCCCCAGCTCCGTCCGTCCCCACCTTGTCCCTCTGCCGCATCGCTCAGGCTTTGCGTCCCCCGCTGCTGAGGGGCACCAGCCATGAGCCACGCTCGCCGCTTGTCCCTGCCACCGGGGCTGGGCTCTCCGGGCTGAGGCTGCTTCCCCAGCTCCGTGCCTGGCGAAGCAGCACCGGCACGTCCCGGGGTGCCAGGGGACACCCAGCTCCTCCGCATCCCCCTGCACAGCCCCCCGAGGAGCCCCCGCTGTACACAGGGGCCCTGAGTATGTCCCCAGGTCGGGGTCACAGCCTTTTTCCCAAACCCTAGAAATCGGGATTCCCAAGGAGTTCATTTGGCTGCTTGTTCCTGGTGCTGCTTCCAGCTGCTCTGGAGCCCCCCGGGGTTGGGGGACACTGGTTGTGCAGCCCGGGGGTGACACGGGGACCTGTGCCCGCTGGCTTTGGCCCCTGCTGCCGCTTGCTTGCAGAGCCCCCCGCTGTCTCTGCTCAGGCTCCATCCCCTGGGACCCCCAGGGCCGGCTCCTGCTGCGGGGACACGGGGTGGCAGAGCACGCTGGGGGTCTGCACGCCACAGCTTGGCCAGGTCTGCACCGCTGATGGCTCGTCCCCGGCTCGCGGCCCCTCGCCCGGCTTGGTGCTGCCAGCGCCCTGCAGACCCTCTGCATGCCCCCTGCCTGCCCCTGCCTGCCCCTGCCCACCCCTGCCCACCCGACCACCTCATCCCACCGCCGTCCCCTTCACCTCTTCTCCTCCTGCCCTTCATTCCCATCGCGCTGCTGGCTCCATCCCCGCTGCGCCCGCAGGTAACGGAGACCCTGGCAGCCCTCAGAGACCCTGGTGGCCCTTGGAGCCCCCTGGGGCCCTCAGAGACCCTGGTGGCCCTTGGAGACCCCAGTGGCCCTCAGAGACCCCGGTGGCCCTTGGAGACCCCAGTGGCCCTTGGAGACCCCGGTGGCCCTCAGAGACCCCGGTGGCCCTCAGAGACCCCCCGTGGCCCTTGTGCCCCCTCAGGGCAGGCGCCGCTGGTGGGAGTGTGATGTGTGTTGGCCTGAGTGCAGGCTGCCCGGTGGGTACCCGCCGGGCGAACCCCGAGTCTCTGCCCCTTCCGCAGCTGTTTCTGGGGCGACCCCGAGAGACTCCCCGCCTGCACCCGCCTCTTGCCGCAAGAGGCCAGAAACCTGCAGAACCGCAACTGGGTATTTTTTTTTTTTTTTCTGCAGAAAGTTCGGTCTGGGACCCGGGAAAGCTGGACGCCTTCTTGCCATTTCCGAGGAGCCCCCCTGCGGTTCCCCCCACTGCCCCCCGTCCTCTTGGCCAGGGCTGGAAATGGTGGATGCACCGCTCTGCCCCGGCAGCGCCGGCGGCCGCGCCGCCCTCCCCGTGCATCCCAGCTTCCCGCACCAAAGCAGCTGCAGCCGTACCTGTGTTGGCAAACACTGCGTGCCCCCCCCCCGGGGACACCACGGCTCGTCCCAGTCAGGCCTAACACCAGAGAAGGCGACTTCCCACCACGCTGCCACCCCGTCACCCCCACCGAGTCCCCGGGGGCTGCCAGGGTCTGCCCCAAACCTGCTCCCCCGCCCCAGCAGCCCCACACACCTTCATCCTCATCATCATCCTCCCATCCAGCTGCACCCTCCCTGTCCCCCCCTCACGGACACGTGGCAGAGCCGGGGCTTTGGGGGTGGCACCGTCCCCTGGCAGCACCAGGGCCACCGGGCGAACCTGCTTCGCCCAGTGCCTCCCTGCTGGGTGCCGAGACCCCCTTCTGCTGACCTGCTTGTGCCCCCCCCGCTAACGCAGCCGCTGCTGCTTGACCTTTATTTTCTCAGCCGAAGCCGAGAGGATTCTCCCCAGGTGTAGATAGCGCTTTCCTGCCTCTGTATCTATTCTGGCCGCACCGGCATCTCCGCGCCCGACATCCCCCGGCCCAGTGAGACATTTCGCTTTGAAAAGCCATCCAGGAGAAGGCAGAGGGGTGGGGGGGCAAGGAACCCACCCCCGGCGCCCGCGGCACCGAGCACCCGCAGCCCTGGGCCGCGCGTCCCGTCCCGCCCGGCGGTTACTGTGATCCTCATGGCTTCTCAACCACTTGGGGTTTCTTGCTGTAAAAAGGGAAACACTTTTTTCTTTTTTTTTTGGAGGTTTTTTGGTTTGTTTTTTTTTTTTGGCTTTGAAGGGTTTGGGTTTTTTTTTTTAAAAAAAAACAAACAAAAACACAAAACCAAGAAGTTGTTGGTATTTTTTCCTTTGTCCAGACTGACGCCATCGCCCCCCGTTCTCCATCAGCTCCTGTCTGTGACTGACTGTAGGAGAGGAGAAAGCAGAGCCCAGAGCGCTTTGTGCCCGGGGGGGGGGTGATGAGGGGCTTCTCCAGCCCCTTCCCCTCGGGCACAAAGCATGGGTGGTTTTCTCTCTGTCCCGTCCCCCCCGCGGGCAGCCCCCACTGCCGCATGCGTGTGTCACCGCGGGGACCCCACACCCTCTGCATGTGCATATTCCGGCTCCCGCCCTCGCACCCGCGCGTGCGACCACGGCCCCGGCATCCACACTCTCGTTTCTTTACCCCGACGGACTCACCTGTGGGTTATATATATATATATATTATTTTTACTTTTTGGTTTGTTTTATTTTTTTTTTTCTTGTTCCGTTTTTAATTTGACAGGGTCGGTTTGACTTCACCCTTATTTTGTATGGATTTTTCGGAGGAGCTTTCTCCTTCTCCAGAGTCATGGAGGTGTGGCCATTCGCCTCCCGCCCTTGACGTTGTGATACACATACCCCACAGAGATCTATGTTTCTTATATTATATTATTATTATTATTAATTATTATTATTATGTAATAAATTTATAAGAAAGCTCTGCTTTGTTCCGTGGTGTCTCTCTGCTCCAGCAGCCCCCAGACCAGGGCTTCCATCCAGGACCCCTCCACAGGGGGTGCACCCAGATCCCAACCCTGGGCATCTGTGGCTTCCTGCTCACTGGGGGCTTGTGTGCTCCCCCCACCCCAAACCAGCATCAGGGACGGTGTGGGGGGGGTGCGGCTGGGCAGGAGTGATGCCCTGCTTCATTGGGGGGGCCGGGGTGGCTCGCTGCTCCCCAGGGCTACTGGTCTGTGCAGGGTGGCACGGGACAGACCTGCACCCACAACCCCCCCACACCTCAGGGAGCTCCCCGGGTGGGGGGTGGCAGGTTCCTGGGGTCGGTACCCCACGGTGGGGAGCCAAAGGGGGTCACTGAGCCGGGAGGGGGCTGTGCAGGGACCCCACAGCCGTGGGGCTGGTGAGTGGCACCAGGACACCAGCCACAGTGGTCTGAGGGATGCTGTGCTGTGCCCCTGCCCACCCCACCCTGCTCCTGGGGTCCCACCACCCCCAA